CTCACTAGGCTAATCCTCTGCCTTGCAGTGCTGGCACACCAGGTTCTAGTCCCGGTCGGGGCTCCGGATTCTGTCCCGGTTGCCCCTCTTCCAGGCCAGCTCTCTGCTGTGGCCAGAGAGTGCAGTGGAGGATGGCCCAAGTGCTTGGGCCCTGCACCCCATGGGAGACCAGGAGGAAGCACCTGGCTCCTGCCATCAGATCAGCGCGGTGCGCCGGCCGCGGTGGCCATTGGAGGGTGAACCAACGGCAAAGGAAGACCTTTCTCTCTGTCTCTCTCTCTCTCACTGTCCACTCTGCCTGTCAAAAAAAAAAATTAAAAAAAAAAAGATGGCGCCACAAATATGATGGCACCATTTTACTAACACTTGGGATGGTTTCAGGGCTGAGACTGCCTAAGTATTTGTTTAAGAACACCAAGGCGTGGGGCCGGAGCTGTGGCGTAGAGGTTAAGCCTCTGCCTGCAGGGCCTGCCTCCTACACAGGCTCTGGCTTGAGTGCCAGCTGCTCCGCCTCCAATCTAGCTCCCTGCTGATGCACCTGGAAAAGCAGAGGAGGATGACTCAAGTGCTTGGGCCCCTGTACTCTGGTGGGAGACCCAGAAGAAGCTCCTGGCTCCTGGCTTCAGCCTGGCCCAGTCCCAGCCATTATGGCCATTTGAGGAGGGAAGCACCACATGGAAGATCTCTCTTTCTCTCTCTGCTTTTCAAATAAATAAATAAATCTTTGGGAAAAAAAAAAAACACCAAGGCTGATCTGGAACTTGGAACTGGACTCTGGACCATGCTAGGAAATAAAGCAAAGTCCTGCCACAGGCATGGAAGCCTGGGGGTGCTGGGCAGGATCTCACTGCTACTGAATGCCAACAAGGCCAGAGCCATCAATGGACACTCCACGTCCAGGGTGACTATGGGACACGACACACAGTGCAACAGCACACAAAAGAAGCAACTTTGCCTCGGTCTCTCCAACCCAGAGCCTCTTTACTTAGTGTCACTTTAAAAAATGGGGCATTTTAGCAAACGATTAACCACAGAAAGAGCATCTTACCCATTCCACGAGCTTATTTTGGACTTGAATGTTCCTGTGTTGAGGATATCGTGTGAATTGGAGTAACTTCTAGTAGGAGGTACAGGTAGCCTGGCCAGGTTTCCTTCATGCATATGTGTCTCCACCACCTCCCACAGTCTTCAAAATATATTTGAAGCTATTAGGATTTTTTAATGGCATTTTAATAAATCTTTTGGAGGAAAACTTTGATGTAAAAGGATATACCTGTTAGATATGAAACAAAACATCATTTAAGAATCTTTCAAGTGACACTGGTTCACACTCCTTTATCAAGCCATGGAATGAAATGTGAAATATGTGTAAGTATTTGTCATTTAAGATGAGTGAGAACGGTGACTGCAGCTCAAAGGGAAGGAAGTATGTAGGGAGGAAAGAGTATCAAAGAAAAGGGGGAACTAATTAGAACACAATTCAGAATAAGAGCGCTGAGAGAGCTTTAACATGCCTCACGTGCTGTGGCGCTCACAGCCATCTGAAACTGCCTTCTTGGAGAAAGTTCTTAATCCTTTATACCTGGGATTATTCCTAAAGACTGTGTCTCCAAATTTAAACTGTAAAAAAAGAAGTATAGCATGTTTATGGATGTTCCCTAAAAGGGAAGCACATATGAAGCCCATTTAGTGCGCTGGAAGGAGAGCCACAGAACAGAAAATTCAACACTTTTTTCTTGATGTTCTGCTTCAAGTTTACATGCCCCTCTCTGTATTTTAAAGTTCTCGCGGGGTCAGCGCTGTGGTGCGCCAGGTTAACACCCTGGCCTGAAGTGCCAGCATCCCATATGGACGCCGGTTCATGACCCGGCTGCTCCTCTTCCGATCCAGCTCTCTCTGTGGCCTGGGAAAGCAGTAGAAGATGGCCAAGTCCTTGGGCCCCTGCACCCACGTGGAAGACCCGGAAGAAGCTCCTGGTTCCTGGCTTTGGGTCGGCGCAGCTCTGGCTGTTGCAGCCAATTGGGGAGTGAACCAGTGGATGGAAGACCTCTCTCTCTCTCTCTCTCTCTCTCTGCTTCTCATCTCTCTGTGTAACTCTGACTTTCAAATAAATAAATAAATCTTTAAAAAAAAAAGATCTCGTATGTGTGATTGTTAGTTCCCTTATGGGGAAAGTTTTTCTGGGGTAGGGGGAGAGAAACAGTCAAAGAACTGGATCTCCACAAAGCCGTGGGCTTCAATCTAAGACAGGCACCGGCCCTGTGACCAGAACTCATCCAGCCTCTCTCTCATGTCAGCTTGTCCAAACCAAAGCCAGATCTCCACGTGAGCCAGGGAGATGGACTGGGTTGTAAATTGCCTCAATCAATGGTGAAGAAAAACAAGATTACCCAAAACAAATGACATCCCGTGGAGATAATTCAGTTTGTCAATTTCACTAGCTAGTAAGCCTCCATTACAGTTGTCATGTGGGAGAGAAACCAGCTTCCTCCGTATCCAAAAAAATCAATCAATCTTGAAAGGCATCATTGATGCCAGCTGGGATCACTGGGCTACCCAGACAGACCCCCTCTCGCCCAGGCACCACCTTCACCTGAAATCATTCAACAGACAGGGAAGTGCATTCCAGGCACGGGGAACCCAGCGCACAGGAGTCTGAGCTGGGGCTCTCGGCGCTCCGTGCAAAGCACGGCGCCTGACTTTCCGATGTCAATGCACATTTCTCTGAGTTACGCCATGCACCTCCCTGATGAATTCCGTTAAGCCAACTGCTCTTGTCTCCGTGTTAATCAAATCCTGTGCCACTGTAACGTGATCCGTCTCATTCAGCACGCACTCTCACCAAGAGCGTGGCCCAGGCGCCACGCCACCCTGGCGTTTGCTCCAAGCTAGGGAAGTTTTTGAAGTGGTTGAAGCAGACAGACAGGGTATTACCCTCTCTTCATTTACTTGTTTAGTCTACCGTCCCATAAGAAAGAGATTCTGTGAAATCCTTCGATTGGTGGAAACAAGTATAATCAAAATTAGCAGGCTCATCTGTAGCACTGCCATAGATTAAATACAATGTTCTGCAGACAGTCCCTCAACAGAAATTGTTCCTGTATTGCTCCAGGGTTACTTCTGCACTCCCCCCGCCCCCCAGGATTCTTCAGCCCAATTGTCTTATTTATGTTTCTCCCTGATACAGGTACCAGATCCAACAGACCCTATGAAGCCTAAAAACCACATTTTACACCTCCTAACATCCTTTGCACATGGCGTATGCCACGGCTACTGTCTCTAGGGGCAACTGAGCATCCAATACAAGCTCCCTGGCCGGGTGTCTCGGTGGCTTGCATAGAGTGATGATGCACAGTGAGGCAAATACCTCCCCACGCCAAAGTCGAAGTCGGCTTTGGAGAGCAGCCGGCAAGCCGGAGGGGCTGCATCTCTGTATAATTAGAATGCGTGGGTGGAAATAAAATCATCTTGGAAATAAGGAGCTTACAGGAGCCCTTTTTCTGGAATAGGGTCATCTTCTTGGAGCTTCCATGTCTTGCAGAAAGAAAAGCACTTTCTAAAAGATTATTAGGCCGGCACCGTGGCTCACTAGGCTAATCCTCCACCTAGCGGTGCCGGCACACCGGGTTCTAGTCCCGGTCGGGGCGCCGGATTCTGTCCAGGTTGCCCCTCTTCCAGGCCAGCTCTCTGCTGTGGCCAGGGAGTGCAGTGGAGGATGGCCCAGGTGCTTGGGCCCTGCATCCCGTGGGAGACCAGGAGAAGCACCTGGCTCCTGCCTTAGGTTCAGCGCGGTGCGCCGGCCGCGTCAGCCACTGGAGGGTGAACCAACGGCAAAAGGAAGACCTTTCTCTCTGTCTCTCTCTCTCACTGTCCACTCTGCCTGTCCAAAAAAAAAAAAAAAAAGATTATTAACCGATGGTTTTCATTGCTGGTAGAATTCGGTTGCCAATCCCTTCACCCCAGCCGTGGTGCAGCGGATGGAATGCCAGCATCTCCTATCACAGGTCGGGTTAAAGTCCCAGCTGCTCTGCTCCTGATCCAGCTCCCTGCTAATGCGCCTGGGAAACAGTGGGAAGTGACCCGAGTGTTTGGACTCTTGCCACCCACGTGGGAGACTGGATGGAGCTCCTGGCTTCAGCCTCGCCCAGTCGCGGCCATTGTGGCCATTTGGGGATGGAAGATGTCAGTTTCTGTGTGTGTGTGTCCTTCTCTGTGCCACTCTGCTTTTCAAATAAACAAATAAGAACAGAGAGAGAAAAGGGGGGGGGGGATGTCAGTAGAAAGGCTGCTTGCGATGACCAAAAGAAAAAAAAAAAAAGGCGAAGAGGGGCGTGCTAGGAGGTGTCCCTGGAATCCCACTATACCGCAAGTTAAATTCAACGGGGGAGGAGGAGGCTGTCCAAAGCGCAGTTTGTCGACATAACCAGCTTTGGCAAACTTCGTGGGCAACTGGATTACGCTTGGGAAAGAATTCTTTGTCCAGTCCCCCCCCCCTCAAGGCAGAGCGGGGCTGCAGCAGCCGGGACCGGGTCAGCACAGAGCCCGGGGCTGGGTCACCGCCTGGCCCTGGGGCGCGGCCGCTGCCGGCCGACCCGGCTCGCTCGCTGCGCCCCCTCCCGGCTGCATGCGCCCGGCGCGCTCCAGCTCCCGCGCCCGGGGGCGGCCTGGCCCGGATTCCAGCCGGAGGAGACAGAGCGCCAAGACCCCGTCTCTCCTCGTCGCACAAAACCCCAAAGACCGAGCCCCTGCCACCTGCAGACCAGGCCCGTGCCCCGCTTCTGCCGCTCTTCCTGGCTTCGCGGGCACAGCTCCAGGAACAACTTACTTAGTGGCATGGAGGGGCACGGGAGCAGGGGCTCGCACGGCACAGCGCCCGGCACCCGCGTTTCCCGCGCGGTGTTGCCGCGGCCGGCACAGCCCGGCTTCCCACGCCCGCGCCCGGTCCAGGCGCTGCCCGGTGGGCGTCTCCGGCCGCCGCCCCTCCTCCTGCGCTCTCGGCGCGGCCGCCTTCCTCCAGCGCGCGGCGCTGCGCACGCTCTCCAACCGGGGGCCGCGGCGGCTCGTGCGCCGACCGCGCGCTCAGCCGGGCGCCTGGACCAAGTAGCTTCCTTGAATCTGCAGATTTCATGACGTCTCCCTGCGTGGTCCGCCACTTGACTCCCACCCGGGGATTTTTTTTTTTTTTTCTTTTCCGCCACTCTCGCCTCTCCCGCTGCCCTGCGCCCTGTCGCCCTCCCTGGGCCCCCGCGCGCCGCACCTGGCCGAGAGGTTGGGCGGGTGGAGGGGTGGGGATCCGTGCGGACGGGAAGCCGGGGCGAGCGCTGGATGAGCCGCGCGCAGGAGGGAGTCTGCCCCCCGCCTCCCGGGGCCGCTGTGAAATGTGACCGTCGGCCTCCGGTTTTGCTGCCTCGCCATCCGCCGAGCGGTGAATTACTCAGTCCAGGTCCCAGCCGCGAGAGGAGACCGTGATGGAGTGAAGCCACCCCGCCCGCAGCCAGGTAAGCGGCGCGCGAGGCGCTGGGAGGCGAGGAGCCGGCTCCTTCGGGCACGGCCCCCGGCGCCCGCTCCCCAGTGCCGCGGGCATCTCCGCCCGGATGGGGGCCAGGGTGCCCAAGTCCGCGGAAAGGCGAGGGAGATGCCGGTTACGTAAGAGAAGGGAAATCTGTTTCCTTGGGTTTTCAGGAGCGACTGGGAGCTGGCTCGGGGCGGGGGAGGTTGCGGCGGGTGGGGGGCGAGGAGGAGGGGTCTGCGTGCCCCGGGCTCGGAGAGAGCAGCGGCCGCGGGCGGCGATCGAGCACGGCCGGCCGGGACCGCAGGCGCCCAGCGCGGGGCAGCGGGCGGCGTGCTGTGCCGCCGCCGACCGTTGGGAGAAGCCCATTGTCTTTGTAGAAGGCTCCTGGGTCTCCGCTTTGCCTAGAGCGCGGAGGACCGGGTAGGACGCAGAAAATCCTAAAAGGAGGGAAAGTGAGGGGAGGGGGCCGAAGCAGGGGGTGGGAAAGGGAACAGGACCGCTGACTGCGCCCAGTCGGTGACACCGGGGATCTGTGCGGTGGCCGCCGCGGTGGATGGGGAAGAACCGTGAATTGTGTTGTATTTGGGAGGAAAAATTTCTTTAAACAATAATGCTTCAGATAAAATGAGATGTTATGATGGCAATTAGGGTCTGGGTAAATCTGCTGACTTCGCGCCCTCCCGGCATGTTTTTATTTGCATCAAGACACCAAGCTTGGATTAGTTTTTCACCGAAATAGCATTAGTATTTCCCAAACCCATTAAAACCCTGGGTGGATCCACAGGTATACCTCTTGAACCAGGCTCAATATGGAGAGACTATTAGGCGGAAAACGTCTTAGTAGAAACGGCCGCAGAAATGGGGTGAGGTTAGTGTAGAAACAAAATACCAGAATTTTCCAAAGAATTCCGCCTCCACCCCCAAAAAAGGAAAAGAAAAAAAATAATAAAGCCTCCAGTGCAGGGAGTTGGGGGTTCGCTGTGTGTGTAGAGTGTCCCACGTCTGGCGCCTGGGCGGCCGCAGGGTTGAAGGCACACTGCCATGTCCTGGCTAGCACCGGTGGCCGCCCGCCCGCCTGCTGTGTGTGGCTGAAATCCGAGGGGGGTGACCAGGACCTGTCTGCAGCGAAGGGGGGCTTGCTGTAGTCGGGGCTGAGCTCAGCTTCGCCCATTTTGCCTGGAGAAAGGAGAGAGAGCCACAGTCTCCATGGCGACCCAGGTGGGAGGGGAGAGGGGGGAGACTGCAGCTCCAGTTCCAGGGAGAAAATGTTGGAGAAAACTTTCCCGGTTCTAGGCAGAGAAAAGAGCTATCCGAGTGCCCCTAGGAGGGTCCCCGGCTCTTTGCTGTGCCCTGCTCTTGAGAGAGGACGCGCACAAGTGGCCCGGAGCCCCCTTCGGCCTTGCAAAAGTTGTCGGAGCGGTGGAGATGGTTTCGGATTCAGCACCAAGGCCAGAGCACAGGCGCCTGGGCCACCTCCTGGGTCTGCAGTTCCCACAGGGAGGCTGGGCTCTCTCCTTTGGTGGAGGGGGGAGTAAATGCCTGTGTTGCCTGTCTGATTCCTGTGCAATCCACAGAGCAGATTCACCTCGGAATTCCGTGGTGCAAAGGGGCTGGCAGGCCATCCCTGTCGTGCGTGGCGGTGCATCAGAGAAAGCATCCAAAATCTAGAACACTGGGACTGCCGAAGACCACGGTGAACTGAGAGTGGACAAAAGAGCTTGCCCTCAGGGGAGAACAAGGAGTCTCTCTCTCTCTCTCTCTCTCTCTCTGTCTCTCTCTCTCTCTCACACACACACACACACACACACACACGACTAGCCCTTGACTAGACTTACCTAGCTTCAGCATTTATTCCTCACCCTAACTTTTGGCTGGGCATTGATGGCAGAAAGGCACTGTGTGCGCAGTGAGACACCAGCCAACCACGGGCCGCCTAAGGCTCCCAGGACCCAAAAGGGTGGAGAAATAGTTTCTTCTTAGTCCAGACCTCACAGGATTCTGAGCAGAGCTGACGAGCTCCGGGAAAGGGGAGAGGACGTGTTTGTGAGATGAGAGCTGGTGATCCTATCATCAGACTTTGAGAAGCCAGCCAGCCTTTGAGCAAGGTGGCTGCATTTGCAAGGTGGCAGGCACAGAAAGCTGAGGGCAGGTGCTTTCCTTTGCAAACAAGGGAGCAACTGTGCAGGAAGGGAGGATTTATTCTCATTCAAGCTTGTTTCAGCCTTCATACAAGGAAAACAGGTAAGTCCTTCGATCTCTGTTGCCTTCGTTTTACCAGAAGCCCGTCTCTCCCTGCACTCCTGGTCTTTAAAAGCAGCTTCTCACTGATACTGATGGGGGAAGTGTAAGGGAAGGCAGCACTTATGTTTCCAGTAGAAAGCCTTTAAGAGTGGCATCTAGGTGTTGCAAGTGGCAGCTTGAATTGCAGAACCCATTCAAGGTTTGGAAACTGATTGGGGAGGTTGATGAGTCTTCTACACTGTCCCTGGCTGCTTTTGTTTGGAGAACGCACCTGGGCATGAGACCTTGAGCTGGTCTGGTCTGTTCATCATAAAGGTAAACAAGAAATATGCAGGTTCCACTCACTGGGCTTTCTAATTATGCACATGTTGTTTTCTAGAGATAATGCATGCACAGCACTCAGGATGTGTGTTAAAGTGGTGTGTTTATACCTTCTTGCCTTTTCTTATGATCCAAGGCCAGGCAAAAATGTGAGATATTACATTTCTTACATTCCAGTTTCTGAGGGACATTGATTAGGTTTATCTCTGATTTGGTTTATGAAAGAGTTGCTCTTAAAATAGAAGTGGTGCATGGAGTGTTGTTGAGACTTACACAAAGCAACTGTACTCTGGCTTTGATCCATTTGATATTGTCAGCAGAAGGGAAGTGGAGACGAGTTGTGAAGATGGAGCCGTGTAAGAATATAGATCATTAGGTAGACAAAGTAATGCATTTGTGGGTTCTGAAGTTCAGTTTCTCTCGTCAATTTTATAAAGAGAGGGGTTGCAAATAACCGAGGCGTGGGAAATTTCGCCATCAATAATCTCTGGTCCTGGTGGATTCCACGCTCACATATTTAGGTGCTAGTTTAGCAAACAATGACTTGCTGTCTTCATGGGTGGCTAATTGCTGACGAAGGTGTCTTACGCTCTTGTGCGGTCAATAATATTCTCCAAAATCATTGGTTTACCCATTTTAAGTAAGGTTTATTAAGAACAACATAGTAGAAATCATTCCTGGGCATTTACTTACATTTTGTAATTTAAAAAAATTTGATACATCAACTTGATACTTGCTAAACATTAGCAAAGATGTATTTGTTTGAATGACCGAGGTCTTCATTTAACACATCAGACTTATGTAGATTCTTTCTTGGAAATTAGGAAAATGCTTTAATTCTTTCTTGTATCCCTCCTTATGCTCCCACAAACCATCTGTAATTTACATATAAAAAAACAAATACCATGAGAATAGCAATTTAATAAGCGATGAAGCAATCATTGGGGATTAGAAATAGGTAAATATGCCCTTACGGAATCTTACAGGCAGAAAATGTTGCCAACCTCAGGGGTTTGATGTTGACTCAAAGCTTCCTGAAGAGAGGGTGAACCTTTGTTTGTCACAAGGCAGCAGGCTCTGCACTAGCTCTTCCTTAACCAAGTGATATGTGAGTAATACATAGACTAATTAGAAACGTGGACCCGAGGGACACAGACTCAGAGAAGGGAAGAGAACTTGGGAAAAGCAGTTATTGATTTTTACCAGCTTTAATGGGATGGTGGTTTTCAAAACGAGGTTTGTTTGTTTTCAGTTCATTGTATCAGAATGCAAAGGTGGTAGAATTGGGATGTTCAAATTCATTGGATTTGCATTGATAGCTTATTGACATGACATTAATTGTTTTCTTACTTTAATAATTGTCATTTAAGTACTGAAAGAGGATTGATTTACCCCAGAGTTTTGCAAAATTATTAAATTTGTTAATAGCAATAAAAAGGGAGTTAGTTAAGTTGAAAAATCATTTAATTTTTTTTTAATTAAGGTTCTCTTTTTAGTTGCAAAGTGTTTGGGGAAATCAAAAAAGAATGCAGTCATTGGGATAAGATTAATTTTAAAATGTACTTTAAATAATTGCAGATCATTATTTCTAGGAACAATGCAGATCCAGTAGAAAGAAGAGTTCTTGATAATTGCAGTTTGTGCTCTAATAGTATTCTGAGTTTCCTCTGACAGAATACTAGACTGTGCATATTCTTGAAACCATTTTAAGAGCATTGATTAATAGCAAAATTATTTCTCTCAAATAAAAAAGAACAGTGCCATATTTAAAAGGGTAGTCAGGATCTTCCGTGAACTGTAGCCTTAATCTGGCCACACTGCTAATCAGTTTGTAGATATTTATTTATTACCTAATTGAATACTTACTTAAAACCTCAGGGAATGATTTTGCTCAGTGTACAAATGCCTATTTTGTCCTGAATGCAACAAGACCATCTTTCCTAATTACAATATGTAAAGTCAATCCTCTCTCCCCCAACCAAAGGACTTTTTAATTCATAGCCATCTGATTCATCCAATGATTCCTTCTGTCTTGTGTTTTGCACTTCCTGTCTATGGCTTAGGACCAGGGACCATACAGTGCCGCTGGTTCTTTCAGTGGGCAGGTTTGCGCTACCTTTCACAACCACTCATGTTCCCAGTCACAGAGACGTGGTCTCTGCTGTGAAGTCTTGGTTAAAGGAACCAGCAAGTGCATCTGTGAATAAAAAGATCCACATCCTTTCCAATAACTGTTTAGGGGAACTAAATTTGAATATATTATATGCAATGTGAGAGACATATCTAGAAATTCAGTTAAATCCTGGAGCTATGGCAGTTTCCTCTTGAAACTTACAAGCATTCACTTTTTTCCCCATCCAGGATGACAATAAAATTTTTTTAAACAATGTTTTGAATTTTCTGCATATATCACACAACAGGAAT